TAATGCCAAGTGTTACAGATGAGGTTGTGCAACTGGAATAATTTGCTAGTGGAAATGTAAAACTGTGTAATCACTTTGGACAACCGTTTGGCAGTTTTAATAAAGTTAAGCATAAACATCACTATATGACCTACAACTGTAATTCAGATGTATTTATAGAAAAGAAGTGAAATAAGTATCTACATAAATTTTTACATGAATGTTTATAGCAGCTTTATATAGGGCTACAAACTGAAAACAATCTAAATGATCATAACCAGGTGAATAAATAAACAAATGGTAACATATCCATTCAATGGGATATTATGAACTACTGTTATAAAGGTAGCAGCCCTGATAAATCTCAAAATCATGCTGAGCATCATCAAGTAGATGCAAAAGAGTAATGTCTGAGTGATTTTAAATTCTAGGAAAGTTTAATTTAATTTATTGTAACAGAAAGCAGATCACTGCTTGCTGGAGGACAGGGATGAAGATTGATTTTAAAGATGAAAAAGGTGAATAGAAAGTTTTATACTTTGATGCTAACGGTGGTTAAAGAAGTGTAGATATTTGTCAAAAGTCATCATACTGTACAGTGATAATAGGTGCATTATATTTCATGTAAATATTACTCAATATGAAATCATTAGAATATAAAGAGGTATTATATAATAAAAATCTTATGATGATAAATTCAATAACATAGATGAAATGCTCAAATTTCTTGAAAACCATAACATCTCAAAAGGTATGCAGAAATAAATATAATATTTGAAAGATCTTTTGAATATAGAGTTTTAAAAAAAATTCTTATAAAGCAAAGTTTAGGTTTAGATAACTTAAACAGTAATTTCAATTCTTGCAAATCTTAAAATAATATTCCAGGCTAGAAAAAAAATAGAACACCTCTTTGTATGATAGCATATACTATATACAGCATATGTTAGGTAACAAATCCTGACAAGGACATTAAAGTGAGGGAAATTTAGAAGTCAATCTCTCTCAAAAGTGGATGTGAATATATAAGAAAAAAAATCAGAGAATGAACTTAATGATATATGAAAATAATAAAATATCACTGACAAGGGAGATTTATTAATACAAATACAGATTGACACTTGAAAACATATCTTTCAAAAAAATGACAGACAAAAGGGAAAATATTAATATAATTATCTTGACAGATGAAGGCAAATCTTTCAATGTAATTGAAAATTCTTTGGTGATAAAACAGTTTTGACAAAATATGAATAGAAGGCAACCTGAGCTAATTTCATATTGAAGGGTGAAATATTGAAATTTTTTTATCTGAGAAAAATAAGACAAGGAGGTCCAGTATTTGGGCTTTGTTCAAAATTGTACTGGAAGTTTTATAAATTATGAATTTTCATAAACCAGTTTGGCTCCTTCCAAGATATGCACACATATTAATATAAACTTCTGGGAGTGGATACAAAATTGAGAATGACAACGATGGTATGGATAAAGAAAGAAAAAATTGTAGATAAGGTTAAGTCATGGGAACTCTCGGAAAACAACCATATTTTTTTTCACATTCCAAGAAAACAACAGAAACTCCTTGAAGCTAATAAAGATTTTCTGAACTACACTTCTTCCTAAAAATTGAATGAAACTAACTTTACATTTAAATAAATATCAGAAATACATTGAGGTCAGATCTTATGTTCTGTTAAGAAAATGAGGATTAGAATTGACTTTGAGCAGCAAACACATAATGCCTTACAGAACTGTACACTTGAAACCTATATAATTTTATTAACCAATGTCACCCCAATAAATTTAATTTAAAAACCAAACATTATTAGTATCCTTAGTGACAATGCCTTCTTGTCACATTATCCAAAAAATTGATACTTTTATAATTGGTTATCTTAATAAATCTTATCTAGAAGAAGGCACTACAGTGAGGCTAGCACTGTAATTAGTAGGGCAGTAGCCCTCACTAACAATAGCCAACATGGGGGATGCTTGACTATTTTTATGGTTTAGGCAATGTATGTGTGTGCATGGGTGCACTTTCAGACATAATAATGGAGGGGTGTTTGTATTTATTATTTATTTTTGTTTTAATCTGCCGTAGTCACAGGTAGTTTCTTTGATCTTGAAGCTTTGTGAAATTGTTTATAACAGGACACACTGAATCTTAGCTGATTGTCAGGCTAGCTTCTCAAAACACCAAAGACTTCATGCTTCATGATATTACTAAGCTAGTTCATAGACTGCTTTCCTTCTTCTTCTTCTTTTTTTTTCCTAAAGGCAATGGGATTACACGACAAAGATATATCCACAAAATAGATCAAAAGTCTATTTTAAATTCAGTTAAAAAGCATTAAGAAAATGATGCAATATAAAAAAAAACAACAAAAATATATCGGATTTAGAAAAACTCAGAAGTGAGTTTATAGAATTCAGGAAAAAATTATAAATAGAAAAAAAATCAGAAATTAAGCCTAAAATGAAAACTCAATAGAAAAAGGAAGGTAAAACAAGATCATTTTAAAAATAAAGATGAAATCAAGAAAGAAATAATAAAAAATCATGAAAGTGGCAAATATTGAAGTAGCTTAAGAAGATAAAACATATTTAATAGAAACACCTGAGGAAAACAAACATAACTGAACAAACTAAAAACTATAATTTCAAAAAAGAAAAACTTAAAACTAATTTCAACAAATACTCCTAAATTAAGAAAAAAAGGTTTGAAATACATATAAAAAGATGACACTGCACTTTTGAGGAAACTGTGCAATAAATGTTATAGAATGATTTCTGAAATTTAAAGAATAGGAAAAAGAAATCCTTTGCATATCCAGGCCAATAGATCAAGCGATTTATAAAAGATAGAAAATTGGATCACAATCACAATTTAAAAAAAACATCACACTGTGCTAGATAAAAATGTAGATGAAGAATTTACTTGTAAGGCAAGATAATTTGTAAGAAAAAATGGCAGAGAACATTACCAATATGAAAGTACTTAGGGAGTTACGTTTACATGAGCTTATCCTTAAAAAATCTGCCAAAAATGAGCTTTAGATGGGCAAAACTATTGAAGAAACAGCAACATAAGAACTAGTGTGCATGGGTAGTTTATTCCCAGAGTTTCTAAGTGTACTTATAATTAATTTGAAGTTTTCAGTGTCTTGGCAAAAATAGACTATATTAGATCTTAAACACTGGTTATCAGAGCAAAATTTTTAGTCATGTTTCAGTTTTTATTTAAGTGCAACAAATTTGCATTGCAGTTTTCATAAACTGAAATAAGAGCTTGTATAAACATTCAATATTTTTGTTTGAGAAGTATGAGAGTCATGGCATTGTGAACAAAAACAGGAAGAAATATAATTGTGATGAACACATGAATATGAACAATATTTATATATTCAAAACAATTTTTATGGCATTTACTCATTTTGGGAATCAAAATAGACATGAGGCAAATAAGAAAGTTGTGGTGTTTAAGGACAGATGTAATTATTATCAAGCTTTACAATAGAGAAAGAAAATAATGCTAAAATACTTATCTCTGATACAATTTTAAAGTTTAAATTAAAATTTAGATTAAAATATGTGATAAAATTAAAAATATAAAAAAGTAAAAACTTAACCTTTATGATTTCAGAAATATTATTCTGTATTAAAGAAAAAAAGAAGATATAAAATGAAAAAATTAATCCTCAAAATTTATCACGAACATACAACTGTTCATCTTTTGGTAATAACCTTATTGATTCGATTTTATGCATATAATAAATAAATAAAAATGAAATTCTAACATGCTCTATCTTACTTTTTCTAGCTTTCTATATTCCTAGTAATATTGTAGAAGATATGGGCTATTGGCACATATTTTGAATATCTAAAGGTCTAAAAAGAGTGGGAAAAAATACCATTGTATATCTTAGAATATAGTTTAATTGTTTTCTCTGGAACTTCCTAAGATCTTTAAATTATTTTCTGTGTTTATTGTGTATATACCTATTATTTTAAAATTTTTCTCCTAAAAAATTAGAAATCTTAATTTGAATATCTGTTTTGTAATACTCCATTTCTCTCATCAGTTTTACTTTGTTTTTTTTCTATCAACATTATATTGATATCATGTTTTTATCTCTATATTGCTTATATAGTTTCCTGTAAATTATTTGCACATAGTGGCATTGGTTTAATACATGTCCAGAATTTTTACAGACTATCGAAATGGTGTCTAAATATTAACCTTGATGAAATATCAATATCTGCTCTGAATAATTCAAAATAAGTCAGATTTTAACAAATGATACTTATTTTATTAACTTTTTGTGCTAATTTTTGACCAATTTTTAGCATTTCTGTGAACTGTTTTCAGTAATCAAATAAGGAACGTGAGACATTTTAATATGATCTAATTTGCTGATACGCTTAGAAAGTTGTTATAAAAGTAATTATATGCCATTGTTCTAATTACTTAAAATGATATGTCTTAAAATTGCCCTGGTCATCTTTTTTTATCATAGAGCTTAGCATATGATAAGAATTCAATAATTTTTTAAGTAAATGCATAAATAAAATATTTACATATATGACTTTTAATTATTTTGTTTTATGATAATGATGCACAGTATTTAGTACTATTAGCAAATACAACTGAATTTACTAGAGATGGATATGTGTTAATTGTACAAAATTAGTAAGATTAAAGATATTGTCCTTCAGTTTAATATAAGCCAACAAATTAAAATAAATATATTAACCACTTCAGTTAACTTGGTATTAATATTAAATATAGGAAAGAAATAATCTTATTTTGATAATAATGTTATGATAGTAATAATGTTGATATGTAGATATTGATATAAATAGGTATAAGGGGTTTCATATTTTGGAGTCTCTGGTTGTATAATATTACAATTTTATATCCAGAGTTTTAGAATGCTTTTCAAAAATAATTATCTACAACTTTAATATTTAAAAATACTTTATATAATCTGAATGTGCTGTTTTCACATTTTCTATAGGACAAAGTATTTCCTGAATTAACACCTGAAAATTTCATCTGAGAATTCAATCACATAGGTAAAATTCCTTTTCCTAATTAAAAATATGTGAGATACAATAATAAATTTCAGAAATAAATCAGTAGAAAAATGTCTATGGAGGTTTTTTTGCCTATTTTTTTTTAAAGATTTTTATTGGGGAATTGGGGGGATGGGAACAGTGCAGGGGAATTGGGGGAAGGGGAACAGACAAGTTGCTGTCGTTTTGTTCTTCAATCTATTTGTGGAGGATGTTGCTTCACTGGCCCAAGTTGGTGTTATCATTGCACTCTTCTCTGGCGAGGCAGATCAGTCGCCGGCTTCTGGACGGCCGCTCACTGCGGCTGCTAGCCGCTCACGCTGGCTGCTGGCCACACACGGTAGCCCATGGCAATCCACTGCCACAGGGACTGCAGCCCACGCCGTCGCCGGCGACTCATGGCAGCCCAGCTCGAGGTTGAGCTGTTGTTCAGCATCTTAGCTGTGGAGGGCAGTGTCACTGGCCCTCATATGTGGGATCCGAACCGGGGCTCTCTGGCATCCCAAGCGAGTTCTCAACCATCGCGCCACTCGGTCGGCCCTTTTTGCCTATTTTTTAATTGGATTGCTTGTTGTTTTGTTATCTAATTGTATGAGTTCTTTACATATTTTTTATTTTAACCCCTTATCAGATACATGGTTTGCAAATATTTTCTTCCAATCCATAGGATACTTTTTCATTTTATTGACTGTTTTCCTTTGATATGTAGAAGTGCTTTATAAGTCCCACTTGTTTTTATTGCTTTTGTTGCCAGAACTTTTGGCATCATGTCCAAAAAAAAAAAATTTGATCTGAATAAACACTTTTCTAAAGCAGACATGTAAATGGCCAACAGGTACATGAAAAGGTGCTCAACATCATCAATCATCAAGGAAATGCAAATCAAAACCAAAATGAGATATCACCTAATACCTCTTAGGATGACTATTTTCGTAAAAATAAAATAAGTATTGACAAGGATGTAGAGAAAAAAGAATCCCTGTATCATTGACACTGTTGGTGGGAATGTAAATTGGCACAACCATTACGGAAAACAGTATGGTTCCTCAAAAAAACTAAAACTGGAACTGTCATACGATCATCAATCCCTTGTTAGGGTCTATATCACCAAGGAAATGAAATCAGCACCTTGAAGAGATATCTGCACCCCCATGTTTGTTGCAGCATTATTCAAAATAGCAAAGATATGGAAACAATTTAAAATGTTCATTGACAGAGGCAGATATAAAGAAATTGTGGTATACAAGTAAGTACACTGGAATATTATTCAGCCTTAAAAAGAAGGATATCAGCTATTTGCAACTACATGGATGAAGTGGAAGGACATTATGTTAAGTGAAATAAGCCAAATGCAGAAAGAAAAAATAAACTGCTCGATTACATTTATATGTGGAATCTAAAAAAGTGGAACACATAGAAGCAGAGGGAAGAAGGGTGGTTACCCAGGGCTGGAGCATGAGGGAAGCTGGTGGATGTTGGTCAAAGGGTACAAAGTGGCAGGTATGTAAGATGAATAAGCCTAGAGATCTAATGTATAGCATGGTGACAATAGTTAATAATACTGTTAATAATATAGTTGAATACTAGAAATTTGCTAAGAGTGGATTTCAAGTGCTCTGATAAAAAATGGCAACTATGAGAGATACGTTGATTAGCTTGACTGTAGTAATCTTTCACTATATACATATCAAATCATGTTGTACACTTTCAATATATATCATTTTTATTAACAAATGAAATATGTTGATAGAGTTAAATATTTCTGTTGTCTCTATTTTTGATACAGTTTTTCAACCAGAGTACAACAGAGTAAGATGACATAAAGCACACACACACACACACACACACACACACACACACAGGCATACATATTTGAATAAATGAGTTTGGCCCGATTCTTTTTGAACAATACTCTAAATTATGAGTACACACATATTCTCATCTCATAACATATTTTGCCTTAGTAGGTTACAAATATGTTATTTGACAGATAATGTTAAAACAGAATTGCTTCTCCAGTGCTATTGATTGATTATTCAGTATTTTTAACTTTGAGGAATGAGTGATGAAAAAAGTGACTCTAATTTTGGCTTCTAACACTGGCAGATCTCCAGTGACTTATGTGAATATTTACACAGGTTGATCAAATGAATGTCAATTATATTAATGTGGGAAATAGGCAGATCTTTTTTTTTCATGAATTGTGTCAATTTTATTGACAGCATACATTACAGTAGATAGTTCAATACACTTAATTAATTTGATTTTTTGAAATATCAGCTATGTGTCACATCAAAACAAAATTGACGTACACTGTGCCAATAGTTCTTCATTATGTTAGCAAAACAAGAAAGACCAAAGTCTGAGGCATATTTCAGTTTCCATTATTACGCCATGGAATGGTTTCAATTATGTCTATACTTCTGATGTATGCGACAAGCCAATTCAGTTCCTTTGCCTTGTGTTCTCTCAATTCCTGAGGTAATTTCCTCTTGTTGCCTAGAATTGCTGACATGGAGTCATTTCCCCCTAGAATTTTCCCATATTTAAAATTATGAGGCCTGGGACCACAATAATGCAACCAAGTTTCAAATAAAACAAAACAACAAAATGTTCAACAAGGTGAAATTCTATTTGACTTTCCTAAGGTGTCTCTTCCTACCACGATATTAAATGTATTGGTTTATGCCTCATAATTTCATTGTTTTTTTATTTATTTGTATAATTTCCTTTCTGCCTTTTCAAAAATTTTCTCCTCTCAACAAGCATTTAAAATTCCAGCTCTCAAACATAATGCTGGATGACTGTGCTGCTTTTATTCCAGTCTGATATGTAGATGCAAGAGTCATGTGCCACAATGCCAATATATTCTGCCAATTCATACAAACAGGATAAAGTTATTTTGTCTCTAGAGAAGTACAAACTGCACTATTGAAATGATCTTTTCAATAGCTCCATTTTTTCACACACTAATGTTCTTAGAAAGGAATGTATCATTTCTAGATCTATTGCTACTTTTTCCACAGTGGGGAAAAAATAAGTGGAACATTATTTGAGGGAAAGGATGGTGTTTGGACATGCAAATTTTACTAGAACCAAGCCATTATAATTCTATACTTTTCTCCAAGCTATCATGGCTGTTTTATTTTTCTTCACATTCATGAGGCTATTCCTCTATCCAACCAATCTCTATGCAATTTTGCTGTAACACAAAAGCACAGGGAGGTTGCAGGGCAAGTGAGTGAGATTTGGTAAGATAATATTAAGTGGTAGCAAAAGAATGAAGCCATAGAGAAAAGCAAGAAGATAAAATTTGGGTGTAATACTCATGATTGGGTATCAGTTGTGTAAGAGTAAACGTTGATTTCTCACTTACTAAAGGAGACAGTGAGCTAGAAATACAGGATTGTTCCATTTTGTTCCAACATATCATTTGAAGTCTACTTGGATAAGAGAGCTTGGAAAAGAGAAGAGAGTTGCATACTGAGAGTTTTACCCAGAGGTGACATATGCCATCTCTCTTCAAAGCTCCTTAGTGAAACTAGTCAAATGGTTTTTCTTAAATGCAATGAGTCTGGCAAGTGGAGTCTGCCATGTGCCACAGAAGTGAAATTACTGGACAAAATACTGGATGTCCACTTAAATTTTAATTTAGCGTGTGTGTGCATGCACGCACACACACACACACATGAATTATATCATGTAAAATAGGACATATAAACATGTATCCTTGGGTTATCAGAAATTCAAATTTAACAAGTTGCTAAATTTGGCTACCCTACTCAGAAATCAAGAACCAGACATTGACAAACACCATTAATGTCTACATATTCCTGTTGTGTTCCCTGTAACAAACCATTAGATTCATTCTCTTTCTCACACATTGAACACAGTTTTCTCATAATGTGTTCAACCCAAATTCCCAGACAACCCAAGTTCTATCCAGTCACAGTTCAAAAGTCCTAGAGAGTGGGAAAAATGCAGCTGTCTTTCCATCAGGTACATTTTTTTCAGGCCTATGCACTAAAAGGACAAGCTATCTGTTCTATACACACCCAGTATGCAATAGTGGAACATGATAGATACACCAACTGCAAGAAAACATTCTCAGATAGAAAAAGAGGAATGGGGAACACAGCAATTACAGGTTCTGACATCCCATTAGAGGATATGAGGCTGCCTGTCTTGGGATGAGGATATTCATTAATTAGTACCTTATACTGCTCTCTGCAAGGAGCTGCCATGTACAGTTTTTGTTTGTTTGTTTTGACTTTCTGTCTTTTCACAGTTTCCTCTTTCACCATTAACCTCACTTGAAATACATGGTAAGTTTGTCCTTCGGGGGACTTCCTAAGGCTTACAGCTATATTCATACACGTTTAAATATTGAGGCAAGGAACATGATTATATGCATATCTCCATCTGTGACTCAGAGCTTGATGGCCACATGAAGGCCATCTGAACACTCAGGTTGGGTGGCACAGTAATGCTCAAAGGCTCAAATTAATACAAGGTAACTCTCAAAGTGATACTTTGATGAAGAGAGTCAGGAGTAAAAGAAACATACTAACATTCTGACTCATTCCAAAATTTCCAATATACATACTGACCGAGTGGATACCTGTGTGCTTTCCAATTTGATGCAGACAAAAGCTTTGCTTTTTTTTTTTTGTCTTTATCCTTTCTTCCTTCAATTTTATGACATACTTTAGAGGAAATTGCTTTGGAGATAAAATTATTATCTACCACTTTGTCAGGTGTAAGGTTTTATGTTCAAATATTACCTAGGAGATATATAATATCCAATATATGTAACTACAAAAATGACAGGAGGTTGAAATTTTTTTTCTTCTGCGACATTTATATTTATTTTTTATGAATCAAGAAATTAATATTTTAAAAATTCTTTAGAAGCAGAAAACCTCAACATTTGCTACAATATTGTTGCATTTTCAGTAAAAACATATCTAAAAGACAAAGTAACCATGAACATTCCTTTTTAAAAGTATGCACCAATAAAATGAGTGGATTTTTTAAATAATTAACTAATTGCATAGAAAATGAACCTACCCACTTGAGTGAGAACAGTCTTTTGGATTTGATTCGTTAAGATCATTATGTTTTTCTGATGGAAATTATATTGCAGAGCTTAACTGCAGTTCTTTCAGCAAAAATTTTTAATGTATAATTTACTAATAACTATTATACTCCTATTAAATGTATTCCTTCTGCAATATTGTTCTTATTCAAATGTATCTTCTCAGTTGTATGCAGAATGACAATGCAGATGCCAGTGGAAGAGACATGTATGTATGTCAGTAAAAGCGAAATGAAAAATATTTAGAACAATTCAGATGAATATTGGAGTACATGATTTTTTTTTTTTACATCTTAAGAATACTGCAAGGAAACACAGAAAAAAGGGTTTTCCAGCTGATGAAAGTACTTACAGGGTGATCCTTATAGTTGCTTTCAAATTAATGCAAATGATGTCATTCATAATGTGAAAAAGCCAGAAAAATGCTGGTCACATTAATTTTTTGAAGTAGAACTTTCTCCAGCAAAAGTCTGTCATTATCCAATTAAAATGTTAATTAGTATTGACAGGACTTGGAAATTTTACCTACCTATCATTGAGCCCTAATCTGGAAAATGACATTTATGAAAAATCCAATGTTTCCACACAGGACAAGTTTCTGGTTTAATGCATGCTTAGATAAATATTGTTTTAATTAATATTTAATTTTAGCATTAGAACTGTCAAATCATTTAAAAATTACTATCTTTTTAAAACAGATTGTCATAAATTATTAAAATCAGACTATATTACTCATATTGAGTTGGGGCTTAACAAGATTGATTCTGAGATAAGATTATGAAAAGAAGAGCCTCTTATATTCTGGACAATTAGGTCAAATTATGTCCAATTGTAAAGACTTGTATATTACTTCCCATATCTGAGTCTATTCTTGAGTTTTTCATTCTGTAACATTGATTTCTCTCCCCTATTATTTCAACAGCTCCACATTGTGTAAAGTATGGTGGATTTCTAACATCTGAAAGAGATAATGTTCCCTTATTCTTTTTTTTTTTTGAGAATTACTTGTTAAATCTTACATGTATATTTTTCACCCAGCTTGATTGTTTACAAAAATAGTTTTGCATTTTTTATTAGAATCAGGATCATATATAGATTAATATAGAACTTATATCTGTGAATTGAATTTTTATCTGAGTATTTGTATTTTAATTTCTTCAAGAATATGTCAATTGTTAAAGTGTTTACATAAATGTTCACATTTTAAAATTCATTTCTATGCATATATTTTTTTTTGGACAGGAAAACAGTTGATTATTATAAACTTATTCTCTTTAGTGTCATAATTAAAAGTTTTATTTTTGTAATGTTTCCAATGTTCTCTTAGATTTTCCAATTATATAACTCTACCCTCAGTAAATACTGTAATAACAAAATGTTTAAACTTCCCAAATTTTTGGCTCCTTGTCCCCTTCCATTCTCACAGGCAGCAACGGCCAGTGAAGTGTTTCTCATGCTACATCATTCTAACACTAACTCTTCTCCCTCCAGCTTTCACATTTAAAGGACCCTTTGATTGCAATGGGCTCATCCAGACGGTCCAGAAAAATCTCCTTATTCTAAGGTCAGTGGAATAGCAACCTTATTTCCATTTACAACTTTAATTCTCCTTATAATGTAATATCACATAGTCATGTATTCCAAGGATTAGGACATGGACATCTTTGAAGGCTATTATTTTGCCTACCACAACTAATTATTATTTTCTTTAGTCTATTTATGCAGACAGGTAAATCCAATCACTGTTAAATATCTGGTATGAAAAGGGCACTCTATTATATTATGTTTCATATATATGCATATTTAGATTTAAGGACATAACATATAGTTTGAATTTTATTATGAGTTCTATATAAATTAAAACTGGATGTTGAATTTTAACAAATATAACTTCAGTATAGATGCAGATAATTGTTTTTATCTCTTTTATTCTCTTAATGTGAATGTTATATTGCTTGGTTTCCTAATATAGAACTATATTTTATTTAAAATGAAAAATTTGATCTTGTGATGCTATTTCAAAGATCAGTTATATGTTTTGTTAATTTTATTTAAGATTTTTATATTATTACTTATCAGTAAGCCTGAACTATTGTTTCCTTTTTAGAACTATCTTCATTGGTTTTGATAACAAATTTACTTACTTTTCTAATAGAACTTATAAGCGTATCAACCCTACTCTCCATATTAGTGTAGTTGTTGCTACTAGTGTAACATGAACTATATCTTAAATGTATTGTAAAACTCAACTAAAATAATCTGGGTGGGACTGGTGCCATTTTGAAAGTACATTTCTGACAATTTTGTTTGTTTGTTTGCTTGCATTTCTTCTATGGGAATCATCTGTTTGGAATTTCTAAATCTTTTTTGTTGTTGTTATTTTGCATGATTTGTAGTCAATTATTAAAGCAACCAATTTCTTCAAGATTTTCAAATTTTCAGCAAATCTACAATGAACTCTAATAATCGGTTTCTCAATGCCAAACAACCAACAACAATCTTATCTAAGTGTTTGAATATCTAAATTTGATTTCAAAAGACTTAAAATTCTGAATAACTGCCAAAAACTGAGATCCTTACTTATGTAATGTCAGCAGTTTACTTAGTGAAACTCTTGTGAGTGTAGTTCTGTTTTATTATAATTAGAAGAGATTGTCTTTTTAGTTGAGATACTTAGAGGTGGTCTCAACACTCTTTAAACTAAGTTTTAAAATATGCTAAAATTTTAAATGAATTAAGATGTTGCTGGATAATGACATCACCACTGAATAAAATGAAAAGATAAAGCAGAAAATATTGTGTACTATAATAAAGTGGAGATTACGCTGGTTGGACATAGTTTCTTTGAGCAGAGTAGCATGATGATCAAGTATTGGCTTTCTTGGCAGCATGAAGTGCAAATATTGGTGGATTTTCCTGGGGCATCAGAAGTTTCCATTCATCATATATAAAAGCGTGTTTTTTTGGTGTGATTATTGTTTAGTGGTAGGCACATTAAGGTATAGTTATTAAAGTAAGTTTATCCCTTTGGCTGACTTTCAGAAGATAGACTCTGAAACTGATTTATTTTATGAAAGCATATTCACTGAGCCAAGTTGTCATTGAACAGTTTTAAACTTTTCTGGTGAGTACTTGTTACCATGGCTACAGTATAATGTTTTGGTTCTAATTCAGTGGGACATTTTTATTCTCAGTCACTCCTTTTGATGCTATAGGAGAAACTATCAAGTATTGTCCAGGTCTTCACAATTGTTGATTCTCTTTGAAGATGAGGTTTCTGAAGGCTTCCGATGTCCAGTTTGTGTATCACTCAGCATGATTTTATCCAATTTTTAAAATAGAATTTGATTTTTAGGCAATTTTATGTTCACAGCAAAATTGAGAGGAAGGTACAGAGATATCTCATATCCCACCTGACCCCACGTATGCATAGCTTCCACCATTATCCACATCCCCCCACCAAATTAGCACATTTGTTATTATTTATTAACCTACATTGACATATTCTTATCACCCAACGTCCATAATTTGCATTAGGGATCACTCTTGATGTTGTACATTCTATGGGTTTGGACAAAGGTATAAGGACGTGTGTCTACCATTATAGAATGACAGGGTAGTTTCACTGCCCCAAAAATCTTTTATTCTTGTAATATTTATCTCTCCCTCCTACCATTCCCAGATCTTTTACTATTTCCATAGTTTTGCCTTTTCTAAAATGACATCCTGTATAATTGGAATCACACATTTTGTAGCCTTTTCAGACTGACTTCTTTTACATAGTAATATGTATTTATGTTCCCTCCATGTATTTTGATGGCTTGATAACTCATTTCTTTTGGGAAATAAATAATCCATTGTTTGAATTTCCACAATGATTAATCCATGTGTCCACTGAAGAACATGTTGATTGCTTCCAAGTTTTGGAATTATGAATTTCAAATAAATAAATTATGAATGGAAGTGTTATAATCATTCATGTGCAGGATTTTGGGTGGACCTAAGATTTTAACTCCTTTAGGTAAATACCAAGGAATATGATTGTTGGATCTTATGGTAAGATTGCATTCAGTTTTAGTAAGAAACTGTCAAACTACCTTTTAAAGTGTCTGTACAATTTTGCTCTCCCATTAGTGAAAACTGCAGAACAGTTGGCAAAGAACAACTCCACCCAAACCTCTGTACTAAGAGACTTGATTAAACTCTAAATGGCTTCTCTCAGCATAAGGCTGTGCTTCTAGGATGACCCCAGACACCCATTAAAATGCCTGCCTGAGAAAGCGCAACATTGCCAGGAAAATTTACTCTGTGTTTTAGCCAATTTCTGATGAGAGGCCCCTGAGCACCCTTTCTTAGAGTGTTTACTAAAAGGGCTTACATTTGTGAATATATACCTCCTAAAAAGCAGAATTGTGTTTCTCAAGGACCTGAGGTCCATCCCATTGAAATGTAATCATCAGGAAGATACCTTTGCCTCCCAGTCTCAGTTAGAGGATAGATTAGTAACTTCAGTAAAAGCCAGTTAGCAAACACATCTGGCCTAATCTCGTTTACAATGTTTTTCACTTCTTTCACTCTACTGAGTGCTCTCTCTCTCTCCCCTTTCTTATTCTCCCTTTAAAAAACCCATCACCTCTGCAGAAATTGAAATGGTGATGAGACCTTTCCTATACTGTCAATAATTACTGAATAAAATCTGTTTTCACTATATTCACGAATGTTTGGATGTGTTTATCTTTGATACTAACAATGAATGAGTTCCTTTTGACCCACATCCTTGTCTGTAATTGGACTTTTTGATGTTCTGGATTTTAACCATTCTAATAGGTGTGCAATTGAATTTCACTGCTGTTTTAATTTGCATTTCTGTCACTGGTTCTCATGAATTTCTGCTTCAGTAAGTTGTGATCTGCTGTATTTATCTGTCAATTTCTTCAATTTGGGGGCAGTGGTTTGCCTTGTGACCTCACTTCTCTTAAAAATCTAAGAAGAATACAGTCATGTGTTAAATAATAACATTTCGATCAACAACAAACCGCATATACGATGGTGGTCCCATTAGATTATAATGGAGCTGAATTTCCCCTAAGAAATAGAAGGATACGTGGTTCAGGAGGAATTATTTTTCTCTGATGGGAGACTATCTGTGGGACTTGGTAGCAGATTCTCTCTCATCACAGCCCCTCAATTCTGAGGGTACAGATTCCATCCCCATCACTCAGCCCCTGACCTGGGTCAGCAGAGAGCAGCCTTCCCCCTTTCCAGTGCTAGATGGTCAGAGGGTGCTACAGCCCCCTAGATCTAGCTTAATGGTCTTCAGAGTACATTGCTATGAATTCTTTGCTGAGGACCTAAGATCCTGTACAAGGCAACAGACCCACAGGAGCTGCCTTAACAAGGATTAAGTGCCACAGCTGCTTTAGTAAAAGCTTTCTGTGGTAGCATAGAGCCAACCTATTCCAGTAATTTGAAATATTTTCAGATTGTAATGAGGTAAAACAGATAAATTTTATTTCTTCCATCAATTCAATGTGGGATACTTTGCAAGGACATCAATTTGTGTAATTACTAGGGAACATGTAATGTACCATATAGGAAGACCAACTTTATGTTGAATTTTTTTTTGGGTCCAGGTTTTTATGATATTTTAGACTTGGTTTAACTCAGAATTCTCTGTAGGAAGTCTGTCATTGTGACTGCTGTGTATTTTGGTGGCTACTCTTTTCAAACCAAAACTCTAAGAGTGATCTGAATTATATGAATATATGATTCACTTATTGATTAACTCATTTATTGGTATATTTATGTAAGTATTATTTTAAGAATCATCTTTAACATCTATTCTCTCCCATTTTAATTAGTTTTTTAAATTAATTTCTGCTGGTGGTTATTTTTTTGAATGACAGTTTCATATCTGTTGAATTAAGAAAAGTTTCCTTTGATTTCATATAATTGAGGTTCATCTAATTCAAAATGTGTCTTAATGATTCCATATCCTGGTCTTCTTACATAAAAAGAAATTCAGTATTTAAAAAGTGAAAAGATTATGTACTCCATTCTTTTTAGAAATTATTTTTTAAGAAAACTATATAAATTTCATCACTTCTAAGTTTTTTTTATCTTCATATCTTTCTACAATTTTTATTATGTTTTGTAATGCTGTCTCATTTGCTTGTCATCTCCCTCCTTTGAACGGTCAGTGCTTCTACCACTGAGTTAAAGGTATCCAATTGGCAGTATGACTTGATAACCATAATACTGTATACTGTAATATGCAAAGATAAATTCAATAATAATAACAAAACTTTCCACTTTAGAAGTTACACATTGTAAACAATTATCTCCCAAAAATATTATTGAGAAGATTATTAGAAATCCTGTAATATCTTTTTGGCAAACCCTATTTTTTTGTACTTCAGGGCCCAATAGTTTTTGTTAATTTAATTTTTCCCCAATGGTCTTAATCCTTAGTTTTTTTATTGTTGAATTTTATATCTGCCTTTGTATGTTACTTTAGTAGAAAGTTGGCAGATGGGGAATTTTTTGACCACCAGATTTCTATTT